GAGAGAAGAAAGAACAGGCATTTTCCTCTTAGGAGAGAGGCGAAGGCGGGGGAAGGAACACAGCCTCCGACAAGTTAATAAACTTCCTAATGATTCTGAATCAGAACTGTGTAGTAGATGCTACTCTGGAATATTTTACAGCCTGGCAAGTGGAAAGGAGCAGCAATTGTGATCTGGTGTTTTTTTGGTGTGTGTGTGGGTGTGCACATTTCCACACACCCTTATAGCATTTATGGGGTTCTCTTGCTAAGAATCATCTTTGTTATGTTCCTCAGGATTCCCATCTACTCTAGTCTCTGTGTTGTTGAGAGAGGCACTGAAAGAAAGGAAGAGAGGAAGTAGAAACATTACTGGCCCAGCAAAATCGAGTCATCAAGAAGTCTAAGGGGTCTCATTAAGATGAAACTCAAAAGCTCATTATAGTGAAGAGAACTTCAACGGATGTTGGAGTGAAATGTTTCATGGCACAGCTTCTTGATGGAGAGCTAATCTTCCACCACAGGAAGAGGAAGAGCGTACGTGTGATCCCTTGATATAACAAGACCGACACTTTTACATGATTCATCCAACAGGATGGTGAATTCCCAGAGTGGACTTCATTTCATTTGATAATCAGATCATCAGAGGAAGCCTGGTTCTGATTTACACACAGAGAAAGAAGGAAAAAAGCACAACTACTCCTAATTGCAGGAGAGTCCTTCTCCCCGCCCCAGTTTTCCTAGCTAACACAAGAGCTGAGCAAGATCTAACTTGCATTCAGAAGATATCATCAAAGAATGATTCTACCAGCTTAACTCCACCAAATGTGGAGGCTAAGCTCCCATGGTACACAATGGTGTTCATCTCGGTCCAGGTGTTGAATTCCCGCTCCCAGTTGGTGATGGTGGACAGAGGGGCGATGACCAGGAAGGGCCCACGGATTCCCATGTTATATACTTCCTCCAAGAAAGCGATGGATTGGATGGTTTTGCCCAATCCCATTTCGTCAGCCAGAATGCAGTTTTGCCTGTGGAGGGGGCAGTGATACAGTTGGAAGTGGGTAGAAACACACATTTGACCTCTCCCCACCAAAATTGGTGTTCGTTCAAGCAGCCTCAGGACGAGTGGTAGCCAACCTTTTTATCCTATCATCAACATCTTTTCTTGATATACCTACATGAGGATGGGGAGATTGTTGAATGCATCCAGGCCTAGGACCTGGATATCTACGAGACCGTCTTCTGCCACATACCTCCCAGCGTCCAATAAGATCTCACAGGATGGGCCTTCTCCGGGTGCCGTCGACTAGACAATGTTGTCTGGCGGCTCCTCGGGGAAGGGCCTTCTCTGTCGCTGCCCTGGCCCTATGGAACGATCTACCCCCAGAGATCCGGACCCTCCCCACTCTCGCGGCCTTCCGAAAGTCTATTAAGACCTGGCTGTTCCGGCAGGCCTGGGGCTGTTGACCTCATAAATGAGGTCCAGCCCCACTAAGGTTGAGTGCATGATGTGTCTTTTAACTTGCCTTGTCTTTCTTTTCTTTTTTTTAATTTTTAGTACACTTTTAAATTGTTTTTATGTAAGCCGCCCGGAGTCCTTCGGGATTGGGCGGCATATAAATTTATTAAACATTAAACATTAAACATTA